GAAAGAAATTGTTTATTTTTTTTTCTTTGTCATGGAATCTACTATTGATCAAGATAAAGAACATATTCGTGGTTCACGTCTATTTCGTGTTTTAGTTTGATGAATATTTTGACCACTTATTGTTTGATTACAATTACAATTTAATGTCGAATGACCATTTTGTTCTTGCTGCTGTTGTTGTTGTTGTTCTTCATGTCGATTATCATGTGATGATATTATATTCAATATAGAACGATCAGATATTTTCATTTGTTCATCTTCATTATTAGTATTAGTATTATTTTCAGATATAATTGTTGGTTGATGTAATTCATTTAAATAATCATGCATTGTAAATGTTTGAAAACGATTTAATGCTAAACTAGGAAATGGTAAAAATTCAAATGTACGTGGTGGTCGTCGTCGAAACCAATCATGTTGTTTTATTTGTTCTAATGTAAAACGTAAACGATTATCAATATGTAATAAACCATTAATAAGTGCTGCTAAATGTGGTTCAATTTCATTTGGTATTGTATAAACACCTTTACCAATTGTTTGAAATAATAAATAAATATTATCAGCTTCAAATGGTAAACGTCCTGTAACAAGATTATATAATGTTACACCACATGACCATATATCAATTGAAAATCCATTATATTTATCTTCACCATTAGCAATTTCCGGACATTGAAATGCAGGTGTACCTAAATATGTTTAATTTCAGATCAAATAAATGCTACAAAAAAAAACAAATAAACTATTATTAAAATGTTTATTGATTATGTGATACCTCATTGATAAAGATTTAAAATAGAAGAATCAATCGTAGGAAAGATTTGTGTTTTATTGCCATAATTTCTAACGAGGAAACTTTTCCAAGTGTTAATCATCGATCGAGCTCATATTTTGTTCATGAGTAAGACTCGATGAGACTAGCAGAAGCCCGAAAAGATTCATCTCCATACACTGTTCTTCCGGAGTTACGACCGTTTTACTGATTTTTCGACCTCTGGCAATGGTATTTATAGGGAAGCCTAACAGTGGAATTTTGTCCATAAACAAGTCTCATGGTCACTAGAATGTTCTAAAAGGTTCAGTTAAAATGAACGTTTCTTTCTCTAGATATTGAGTTTCCAAGAAGCTCGATTTTTTGACCTTTGCCTTTGGGATATGATCGTTCCTTGAAAATTCAATATCTTGAGAAAGAAACGTTGATTTTAGCTGAAACTTTTAGAATATTCTAGTGATCATGAGATCTGTTTATAGACAAAATTCCATTGTTGAGCTTTCCTATAAATACTATTGCCAGAGGTCAAAAAAAACCAGTAGGACGATCATAACTCCGAAAGGACAGCGTATGGGAACGAATGTCTTCCGGATTTCTGCTAGTCTCATCGAGTCTTACTTATGAGCAAAATATGGGCTCGATCAGCGGTAAACACTTGGAGAGGTTCCCTCATAACTGAATTTTTATATTTAGAAATCGTTCGGTATTAAACTTATTAAGTAATAATAATAGTAACTTTCATTTTATATAAAAATAAGTTTAGAATATTTCATTGAATTTCTATCAGAATTACATTCGAAATTATCTTGAGATTTGTAGAAAAAAAAAAAGTTAATTATTACTCACATTTCGACTACAACTTACACAAATTTAATTAGATCTCAATCTTCGGATGTCTACAACAAAAAAATAACCTACTAAGATTGCTATCTTTTTGTTTTTATTATAATAATATCTACCATAGTAGAAACAACTCACGATCATAGTTTGAAAAAAAGAATACAGAACAAAAATAATTCTACATATTTATTCATAAACGACGCACATACTATGAATATCTATTCTTCATATATCAATCTAGAAATGAATTAAAATTTCGAAGAATAATCTATTAAGTTTATTCTCAAAAAACTAATTTATTTTTATAATAAAATTATATACCTTGACTTCGTTTAGTTGTATCATCAATACTAAACCTAAACATTTAAGAAAAACAAAAAAAAAAAAAAGAAAAAGATGTCGAAATCATTTTTGCTTTCAAAACTTACATATCAAGTTGTTCAGCTGTTCCAAAATCAGTAATTTTTAATTGATGATCAACAGTTATCAATAGATTACCTGGTCTAAATAAAAAACAAAAAAAATATATGTCATTTAAATTCTTGACAAAATAGAACTTTAGTCTATTCAATCAAGTACATAATAGAAATGTAAATCATTTGTTTTTACTGTTTAGCTATAATTTCTTTAGTTTTATTCTACACGTTTTCTATTAACAAAACTGAATAAAATTATTTCACAAATCGAAAAATTTGTATACTTCAATATCATTCTGTTGAACTTCTTACTGTAATTGAATAATAATATCACAATCTCAAAATTATTCCTATCCTATCTTGTTGAATAAAAGAGATAAAAGAATTTTTCCCAGTCAAAGTATAGAATACAAAGAAAAACACTTACTCTACACATCTCTATTCGATATTTTCTCAAAACTAAAATATCATAATAAGTGCTAATTAACGTATCTATATTAAGACGTACGAGTTTCTGATGACAGATAAATGTATGAATTGAAAAAAAAAAAAGCATACAAATAAGTATTTGAGTCGTTGATGTAAGCATAATCAAATTATAACTATAATACGAAAGCAAAAGAAAAAAAAAATATCCGCCTCCTAACTTTTGATTTGCAAAATAAATTAGAAGCCTATATTTTGTCAAGGATTATTCAATATCTTTTTATAACATACTTTATATCATTATGAATAATAAATTTTGAATGAAGATATTCTAAACCATTAATTAATTGTACAAAATAACCATGTGCTTGCCATATAGGAAATGGTTTAATTTGTTGTTTTTGTTCATCTGTATCAAGCATATCTTGTAATGAAACAACACATAAATCAATAAATAAATATAATTTTTGTTTTTCATCATTTCGTAAAAAATCATATAAACGTATTATATTTGGATGATTTAATTTTTTTAATAAACGTATTTCTGTTGCAGCCATTTGTTCACCATGTGGTGTTTTACGTAAACGACGTCGTTGCATTATTTTAACAGCACGTCGACATAAATTACGACGATCTAAACATTCTTTTACTTTAGCATATGAACCTTGTCCAATAACATCACCAAATAGATAAGGACCAATAAATTTTGCACGTTTACGTTTATTATAAAAATTTAATTCATCTTCTGATGAAACACGTTGTATAGGTACTTGTGTTGATAAAGTAAACTCATCTAAAAATGTTGTTGTTCGTTCTTCATCATTTTCATATTCATTAAATTGTATTTTTGATTGTAATGTTTGATGATGATTTTGATAATTATATAATATTGATGGTTGTTGTTGTTGTTGTTGTTGCTCTACCTGAGGATATATTATAGGTATAGATATTTCGTTGTCTTCTTCCTCTTCTTCTTCAAAATAATCACAAATAATATTTTGTGATTCAGATGAATATTGAAAAGTAGTTATGGTTGATGATAAATTATTATCAGCCATTATTAAACATGATATTTTTCTTTTTTATCTGAGCAAATAATATGTTTTGTTTTGAAAAATATGAAATATTAACAAAAATTGTTGTTGATTTATGAGACAATATTCTATAAGGAATATAAAAAAACGAGAATTTTGATTTTGTCTAAAATAGAAATATTTTAAATTTTAATAGATATTAAATATGATCTAGTGATATTTGTTGTTGTTTTTTGTTATATATTTCAAAATGAAATGTTCTTTTTTTGCAAGACAATCTTTTATTGTTGATGGTTGTTGTAGAGAACGAATGAAAAAATCTATCTTCTATTTCGCGATTTATATTATCGATAGATGGCAATGGCATAGTTTAACCACATTCAAGTTAAGCCACATAAAATATTGGTAGAAAAATATGGTTTATTACATTTAATTAATTAGAAATCGATTGTGAAAGTTATTCTACAGAGTCAAATGAATACTATGGCACAATAAAAACGTATTCATCATTATTTATAGCTTACAAAAAAGAAAACCACAATCTCGAGGAATAAATTTTTTCATGCACATTTTATACATTTACAGTAGATATTCAAAATTTGAAATTAATCGTTCGAATGACATGGAATTAAAATCCGGTTCATATTCAGTTGTTATGAAATATTTTATTTGCTAGATTTTTCTTGTAATTTCTAATCATCAAGTAGTAGTTAACATGCATTCATTCATATGCAATAAGCTTATAACAGATTCATTTCATTATTTTTGTTTTAATCAAATAATATAGATTCACGAATATTATCAATAAATAATACCTATTTAGAATCTGTCAAAACGTTTTTCATGCTCATTATTGATGAGAAATGACTATGTCAAATAAAATTTTTTATTAATGGATAGTCTGTTTCGTACATATACATAAGAAAAACTATTTATTTTTTTAATAGTAGTCACTTATTCACGTGTAAGATAAAAAAAACAACAACACAACCTTTAACATTCGGACATAATTCGTCCAAAGTATAAAGACGTATCAACACACAAAATCATTCATACGTTTCATTTTATTCTTGTTTCTATTTGATAAATAGGTAATATATTGCTATCAAGCCACAAAATGCATGACGCACACAAATACATGCGGCTAGTTAATGTTTAGTATTTTTGTATTTGTATATTTGATTGTCCTTGAAAAATCGAAAGACATTGCCTGACAGTTAGTCACCTTGCTTTTTTTTCTATAGAAATTTTGTGGCCTTCAACGATTTTTTTTTCTCTCGTCTTATTTCTATCATTTCCAATACGTTTCGAATAGCTGTTATTGTATCGTGACCAACCAATAAGCAATAAGAATAACCACAATTGCATTAATATTGTTATTGATATATGTATCTCATTTCAGCTTTTTTTTTTGTTTTGACGGTAACACTCTTTCTCTTATTTTTTTATATTTATTAAGATTAAGTCTTAGTTTAACATAACGACAAATTAGCTTCACAAATCAAACGGAAAATGAGCGGACCATACGAACAACAAGGACTTAGTCAAGCTCCCGGTTACTATCCTGGACAAGTTGCTGGTCAAACACCTACTTTCTATCCTGGACAAGTTGCTGGTCAGGCACCCGGTTACTTTCCTGGGCAAGTTGCTGGTCAGGCACCCGGTTACTATCCTGGGCAAGCTGCCGTTCCAAATATAGCTCAACAGACTGCTTTTGGAGCCACAGATGTTTCTCATGGTGAACATGCAAAAAAAAGTGGTTCATCATCATCAAGTGGTTCGTATGTTGCTGAAAATAAAGGCCATATTAGTTACGGTGGCGCTGGAGTAGCTCCTGTAGGACCTCCTGGAGTAACTGCAACAACCTATCATGGAGGATATGTTGGTGGTGGATCGTATGAAACAGCTTATGGTGGTGCACGACGTCACGGACGCTATCGACGACAAGTTATTCAATTGCCTGATCCAATTCATGGATCTGTACGACAAGTGCGACATCGTTTACTAACCCCAGAACCTGACACACTTGAACGAGTGTAAGTATGAATCCATAGAATTTTAACTCTATTTTCATGTCAATTAATTTAAATTTAGTTATATTCAACGTACAGGTCCTGAAATTATAGAAGAAATTACAGAAGTTCCAACAACACCACCACCTCGCATACAAGAACGAACTGTTGTTGAACCAGCTGGACCACCTCAAGTAGTTAGAAAAGTTATTCGTGTACCACCACGAAGCGGTGGTTATACTTCATATCCCCAATATGAAGGTGCTAGTTTTTACACTGGAGGTCAGGGTATCAGCAATCTCGCGAGCTCAGGAAGTTTTGCTAATTTACAACCTAGTTTTGGTGGCTTTAGCAATTTTGGTAATTTTGGTGGACTCTCATTAGGTGGTGGATTTGCTGGAGGAGCTACCAATTTTGGTGGTTTTGGATCTCTTGGTGGTTTTGGTTCATTTGGTTCAGGTTTTCAACATCAAAACTTTGGTCTTGGTGGTTTTCAATCTCAAGGATTATTACCAACGGCTGGATTTCCTGGTGCTAACTGCTTTTTTATTTAAAACTTAATCTTGCGAGCATTTCTATCAACAAGCTGTATGTCAACCAAGAGCATTATACATTCGACAACTCGTTTTTCGTTTTTTATTTAGTTCTAGAAAACTTTCTTTCTTTTTTTTTCTTCTTTTCTTTAAAAATTTAATTGCGAAATATTACAAAACAAGGTCAAGAAAAAAAACACAACTTTTTTTATCTAACCCCATATGCTATCCTTGTTTTATTTTCTTCGCATTTATTTTCTTATTCCTATAATGTTCTTCTCATAAATAAATAAAAAAAAAAGCGTAAACACAAATCACCGAATAAAATATGCGATAAATAAGTGTACATTTGACTATCCTATTACTGCATCATGTAACACATCACTGCACACATATGACAAGCAAAAAAGAAAAAACCAATAGCATAAACGAATAAAAAATCTATATGTATCTTTTTTTCTCAAGGAATGATGTACATACGAAATAATACTTATATTATTATTGCTCCCATCATTGTCAACATAATATAATGAATCATTTGGATAAAATATTTTAGTCTAAACTGACAAAATAATTCAGTAATTGGTGTGAAACAAAAAACAAAAATAGCGCAAACATCAATATCAAACACGTCAAGCGTCGTTTTTCTCTATCATATGATAAAACGAATAAACTAATGTACGATATTCATAAGTTTACAAAAACAATTAATCGCAAGAAATGATATGTTATTAACAGAATAAAATGAAAATAGAATATGCTGCTCAGTAGTCATTATGTATGAAAAATTGACTTTTTTTTTTTGAAAAAAGTTAAATAATACTGTTCTACGTATATAATCAGATATGAAAGGTTATTATGAACATAATCGATAATCAATATTTTCTATGATATTTTTCTATTCAAATTGGAATAGATTATCTTCTCTGCTTTCTGTTTTATTAGTTGTCTTTGTTAAGAATGATTTATTTACATGTAGAACAGAGATTAAAACCAAGAAAAAAATCTTGACTTGATTCATATCGAAAAAAAAAAACGAATTTCTTCATTATTATAAGTAAATGTATTTATATTTCACGTAAAATTTATAGAAGAAATAGTTTCTAAAATTGCATAAATAACGCTACTATAGGTATCATCTACTTAGAAGAAGATGCATATGTGAGGAACATAAGTATACTAACTTTTAATTTTAGTTGAATTCCATCGTATTTCTCAAATTGTATTGCAGTTAGTAATCTTTAAATTTAATTGGATCAATTCTACAACATTTAAATTAGATAATGCAATATTTAGGTTTTTAGTCAAATTTTTCAAAATCAGATTTCATCCCAATTAACATATCAAAATATGTAATAGAGTATGAAATCATCAAGTCTACAATCACATATAACTATAATGATGATTATATAATCGAAGAAGCAAATACTTGCACATATCAATAATAGAATTCTATCAATGTATCTGTCGCATCGAATTTAGCATGTTTATCGAAATTGTTTTTATTAAGTTAAATAATAAATAGATAATGACTTGAATAACATCATTGGAACTAATATTTAAATTTAAATCTTTCACTGAACAAGAAAAAAAAACGATATTTTTGAGGACCAATGTAACAAAAAGTATAACTTATGCAGACAAGAAAACATAGTCTCTTTGTCTTTCTTTTATCTTTCGCTTCGTTCTAAGACAAAAAGGTTCGTGATATTAAAGAAGATAGATGTGGGATGTAGCTGAAGAAGAGACCGACATCCATACTCTCACACTCATTTTTCATGTTTGTTTTACATAAGTTATACTTTTTTCAAAAATATTTTTTTTTTTGTTCGGTGAAAAATTAAATCAAAATATTCATTTCAATGATAACATTCAAGTCATCATCTAGTTATTGTTTAACTTGATTAAAACAACTTCGATACGACATACTGACTAAAAAGATGCAAAACATTGCCAGTTCTAAATACTACATAAAACTAGAAAGTCCTACGAAATATATGGAAAGACAAGTAGCCATGAAAACAACTGCATAATTATCTACTTTTAAAAACATCGGTAGGAACTGATTTTTTTTTTAAATAAACTACAGACAATAGTTTATCTAGTACCCTTGATACAATTTGCAAAAAGTCAAAATACAAAGGATATGAAACCGATACTAAAGCGTGTTTTATTGTTCATATCTAAGACTTAATGAAAGCATTACTATTGAGTCGAATAGTTCAACTTTATTTTTGATCTCTGATGTAGAACAACTGTTTAATGTTTACAATCAATTTTATCGATCTCTATAAAAAAAATTCTAATAAATTTATTGAAAATATACATTTAGAAATCATTTCAAAAATTCTTTACTTCGTGAAGAATCAGAGAGAATATTTAGAAAAATCAACATTTCATTTTACTGTTTTTACAACTCATGTGATTCAAACTGGACAAAAACCATTCAGTATAATGTATACTATACCGGCGGTAGTGAGTATTTTTTAATTAAAAACTAGACTAAAATTTACTTCAGAAGAAAATATGTACTTAAAAGTTTCTAAAGTTTATGATAAAATCATTCAATATTGATTTATAGCGTGTAGTTGAAGAAAAAGAGCAAATAAATTTTTTTTGTTGGTTCTCAATCATCTTAAAAATTGATAGGGATAAGTATAAAAAAGATTATATTAAAGTACAAATGAAAAGAACAAAGATATCAACGGAAGAGTAAAATCATTGTTGGTTTATAATTTTCTTCATCATCGAGAATTAAATCTTCGGGTTTTGTATCCTTAGCTAATCAAACAAATTTTATCAATAGATAAAGAAACTGAAAATTTGATATTAGATATAAAATCAATCGACATTTTTAATCACAGGTGACCAATAAAATTAGATATACCACTAATCCGAGAACTGTTTAGGAATTTCGGTTGTGACCAGATTTGATGATTCACATATCTTAAACAACAATAATCAATAATGGAAAGTACAAAAATAAAATTAGTTTTTTCAGATTCTATATAACACGAAACATAGTGGAGTATAGAGTGTCAAATTTGATCATTCTTAGATTATAAAGCTTCATATGTCGTTCGATGCAGAATTTTAAGCTCAGTTTTTAGTAATTTTCACAAGTTATAAAGTTAAATAATTTTTAAAGTGAGAAGACTGTGGCCACTTAAAAAATTCTAAACATACGGCAAATTTTTATATAATTCAACGTCTTGCAGCAACAATGGATTTTGGACATTTCTATGTTAGATGTGAACCTTGAAGCTATCATTTGTAATAAAATTGACGGTACAATTCAAATTTTTATATAATTTGTGTATAATTCTCCACAACATCTCTCAGCAATACATACCATATTTGCCTTCTATTTGTAGTTTCTATCATTTTGTTTTTCTTCAGAAAGTCTCTTAGTTTTATTCGCATAAGAATGTTTATTTAACAAAAGAAAACCCACTTCTATTTAATTAAATTGATTAAATTATCTGTAGAATGATTTTTTTTTAGCAGATCAGCACTAGAACTTGTCGAATTGATACTGAATTCCATCAAGTTAAGGTTCGAAAATTTTGAATCCAACAAGTTCTAATCAATTCCATTATATAGAAGTTTTCCAAGACATAAGCCAAGTCAGACTTGATATTGGAATTAAGTCATTGTGGACTCAACTTGCCTAAGCCTAATGAGAATAACCTTTTTTTTTTATTTTAGATTAGAAGTCACACTTTATCTGTACTTTACTCAATAAAGTTAAATACTTTACCTTACTTAACTTGATAGCATAAAGTAAAGTTAAATACTTTGTTTTACTTTACTTTTTCAAAGTAAATATGGATAAAATGTCACCCTTGATTCTAGATCATCTTATCAATCATATTCAAAAGAAACAAAAATTTATTTTATTTTTACTTATCTAAGTTTATTTCAATTGTCAAAATCGATAGTAAAGGAATTAATAAAAGATAAACCTTTGTATAAATGAATATTTCTTCAGTATAGAGAGGAATGGATGAAGAGGTAGAGCTTTCTTCACATCCATCCCCTCCCACTGTTGCCTATTATGCTAATTGACTGCAAAATTTCATATAGAAAGTTATAGGAAATCCTAAAGAATCATCCACGAATCTGATAAGATCTAGAATTTAACTCCTACAAGAGAGTCATACAGTAATATTTTATTAGGATAATGCTAGATCAAACAATCAGACGGTAAAATCTTTCAAGTTCTTGCTTTTGATTACTAAGTTCCTATATGATCTTGTTACAATCATACAAGGTCTTATATTTGGATTGTTTGATTTGAGTGATAGAAAAAATTGCGAAACTATAATCATTTAATTATCGCATGGTTCGTTAAACATTTATTTGACATTCAATTATATCTAATAGACCCAATTATCGACAAAAAGATGTATTGATTAATTACGATGATATGATTTCTTTTTTTTTGTTTTGTTTTTTGTAGAAATATCTATTCATTCTTGATGATATGATACGAAATTGAATAGATGCCGTTATAGTACTATTAAAAAGACTAACGTTCAATTAATATGGCGATACAATGAATACGATGATTCGTCGTATGCTGAACCGAAATAACGAAATAAAACGAAGTAGAAAAAGATTCAATTTTTTTTTTGTTGTTGTTGTTGTTTTCTTCACTATTGTTTTAAAACTTGATTTAGTTTGAAGGACAAACTACAGTCATATTCAAGGATCTTTTCTTTTCTTTTACTCTTCATTTGACAAATCAAATTGTTGTATCTATATATATATATATATTAAATTTCCTGATATAAAAGAAAGAAAAAAAAAGATAGTTACATTCATACGAAATGAAAAAAAACCCGTATAATAAAACATACATTTCTGTTTTTTTTTCATTCATTCATTTTCTCTGGTTTCTTGTGTCCTTGTCAAATTTGTAGCAATACTCAAGTGTTTTGATTTAAATTTAATTCTCTTTTTTTTTTCGTTCGCTCTCTCTCTCTATCTTTGTGGTTGAATATTCTCAAATAGAATAT